AAGATTTTATAATATTGAATTTATCTTTTGGTTGTAAAAACGTAACTAGTAACGGAGAATTTGTCGATCCAATAGCTCCTAAATGACGCACCTGGAGTTTTTCCGGAGAGATGTGGTCATTGAACACTTGTTTACAAAAGGAAGATATTACTTGTTCGACGTTATGCTCTGTGGAGTGTTTCAATCCTTTAAAAATCAGATTATTTTGTCGGGATTTTACTTCCAGATCTTCGAGGCGTGAATCCAAGTCGCGTAGTTTTTCCCGTAAAGCTTTGTTCTCAGTGCGTAAACGGGCGTTCTCCTCCTTGAGAGACTTCAGATCACTTTTGATATCGGATATGTCATCTTTGGTTGCAAGAGACGAAAGTTTGGAGTCCAGAAGATCAGCGACAACATCTTTTATTGCAGACAGAAGATGTGGCGAAGAATTTGTGACTCCTTAATCGGATAGTATTTTTTAATGATTCGTTCTGAGTCGCTTTGAGGGGATGTACGATCTCTTTTACGGGACGCTGACATCAGACGTCGGCAAAGAAAAACAAACTGGGTTTGTTTATCAAACAAGAATGCAGTCGGAGACCTCAACGAAAACACCGAATATCTCGTCCGGTGGGCCACAACAAAGGGGCCCGAACCTTGCCCTTACCGAGTACAAATTAACTTTGAAAAAGTTCAATGAAACTTACGAAAAAGTCTCGTAGCGAAGAATGCATCAACTGTACCCGGAAGCTGAAACTCTGATTAAAAAAACTTCAAAAAATCAAAGTAAGCGGCTACTTATAAACCACAAAAAAAGAAGTAAATAACAGAGCCGATCTGTACCCTGCCAATGCTAGCAGCAAACTCAAATTGATTGTTAATCCACTCATTTGTAAAAATTATTAATCTCTTTAACTAATCTTTATCCGGCTAACAAAAGATTTCTTTGAGCCCAAAGAAAAAAAGGGAAAAAACAATTGGCGGATTCTAATGCAAGGGAAAAGACTGTCTGTGCCCTATCTATTAACCCAAACCGGGCTGTTTAATTAGGTCCGTAAAGACGGTAAAGGTGATGTGGGCCGGACAATACTATCTCACACACTGCCATTTACTCTTTGTTCTGCTCGTAACCCTCTTGATTTGTAGAACAAAAGTATGGGATGATCTTTATTGTTCCACAAACGCCTTATCTAGTGACTTTTTCATTATTTAATAACAGAGATTTTGTACTTTGTTAAAGTTTAGGGAATATGGGTTAATTTCAAAAATCTATAAACGATTTTTCAATACATATCATTTAGAACTATTGTACTAATCTTTGTGACAAAATATACTAAAATTATTTTCCCGCGTTTCGAGAAATGAAAAGCATACGTGATTCTTCGTGAGATTTCTCGATATGGTATGCGGCATAAAGAATCTAATGGTAGACCGGTAATGTTGATGTGCCTATCCTTGCTGTATGGTCTGTGTTGGGCCTAAGTTTGAGGTCCACTTAATGTTAAAGTTAATTAAAGTTTCTAAAAAAATTCAAACTGCGCCAGGAAAATAGGAAACCATTAAAAATAAATAAACTCGAAAGAGAGAGAGAGAGAGAGAGAGAGAGAGAGAGAGAGAGAGAGAGAGGAGAGAAGAAGAAGACTGTGTGAGTTAGATAGAAAAAGAAAGATATAGTGTGTTTCTAAGTGGGTGAGTGAGAGTGTGAAAGTTAAAAAAAGAAAAAGAAAGCGGATAACTAGCAAACAATTAAATATACAAAAGGGCAAAAATATGTATAGGGATTAACTAATATATCGAATATTTTTAGATTTATTATGCATGAAAATTGAAATTATAAACAAAAGATGGAAACATGAAATTATGAAACAAAATTCGGCAAATATAAGACGACCAAAATGATTGCTAATGATTAAATTGAATATATTTTTGATGGAAGGATTTTTGATTTGAAAATCTGTTAAAATTGAGGTCAAATAAAAATAAATCTATTTACTCATTTTTTCCGTTAATTACAAATTTTTTACATTCCAACTACATCATTTTTCCATTAATTTTTTCATACACAACTGTTTCCCCTTTCTTTCATTTTTTCGCTCTTTCTCTCTTTCTTCATATCTATTTTTGTGATTTTAGTCGAAAGTCAGATTTTTTCATGTATAATCGCAATTTCTCAACTTTATCATCATTAAAATACAAATAGGACATTTATTTCACAAACTAAATTTAATTTTCCACAAGATAACATTTTGGTTGAAAAATTCGCGCTTCCGAATACAGGGTAGCCGCTCAAAGAAAGGCAAATGGCAAAACCCATATATATTATTATTATTTTTATTTTTTTTTAAATACTCAATTGTGGCTTGTGCAAATGACTTTTCATTAACATTTTCAGGACTTTGCCCAAAGTTGCCCAATTTTATACGTATTGCAAGACTTCTTCTATTCTTTCTTTTACTTTTCTTACTGAAATCACCTTCGCAAGGTCGAACAACGTGATATCGAACCCAAGGAGCAGCAGCACGAGAACCTCGTACATGTCATATTTTTAATGAAAACATTTATTAGTTGATATGAAAAATTAGATACATTTTTCGTATTTTCCGAAATGCTTTACATCGTATGGGATTCACAAGGGCGAACGTATTGCAATTGACCTAATGCACGGAGGACTTCATCCCTTCTTTCCCAAATGTCATTGCAAATAATTTCGATTTTCTCGATGAGCTGTACCCTCGTTGGAGAGAGTACTTTTTAGAGTTCCCAATATGAAAAAATGTAGTGGGGTTAAATCAGGGCTCCTGGTTATGCCAATAATTTTTGTTATCAACTTACAAAAGTTTTCATATCGTAATTGTTTAGGAGCCACAATTGAGTATTTAAAAAACATAGGTTTTGCTACTTATTCTTCTTTAGCGGCTACAATGAATTGAGAAGCGCGGATTTTCCAACGGAAAAGTTTCTATCTTGTGGAAATTTTAATGTAGTTTGCGCAATGTAATAAAACTCAGATTTGTATTTTAATGGCAGTAAATTTGAGAAATTACGATTTTTATGTGAAACATTTTGATTTTACACTAAAATTACATAAATGTTAATATTTCAGGAAAGAGTTATAACAACAAATTATGTCCAGGCTCTCCCCTCCATGCAGGAGGCAGGAAAGCGAGAACGGATAGTTAAGTCTAGCCTAGGCATTGGAAGAAAAACAATAAGAAAAAATCCAGCTGAAAGCCAGTCAAATCAGATTTGTATCCATTTGATTTTTATTAGTATAAATTATTTCTGTTTTGTGGCTCATTTTCATTTATGGTTTTCTGTTTGGTATTTTCCATTTTGGTTATTAAGGTTGATTATTTTAATTTTGCCCTTCAGGCCCATATTATTCCCATAGTATCTAATTATTCTTAAATTGTTAGTTTGTCAAGAAGATCAATATTCAAAATTAAAAACAATAAATGCAGGAGTGCCACAAGGTAGCATATTAGGTCCACTGCTTTACTTGTTATACACCAGTGATTTTCCGAAAATAGATGGAGTAAAAATTCAACGTTTGCAGATGACATCACTAGGACCGACTATCACCCATTCAACCAAACTCCTCCAAAATGCATGTAATAAGATAAATGAATGGACAAAAAAATGGAAAATCAAGCTAAATCAACATAAATCAGTCCATCTAATCTTTACAAACAAAAAGGTGGACCATGTTCCGTTGCTCACAATCGATGGAACTACTATACCATACAGCAATACAGCTAAATATCTGCGTATGACCTTAGATGCCAAGCTGAGATGGAAAGAACACGTGAAGAAAAAAAGGACAGAAATAGGTTTAAGGTATAGGTAACTATACTGGTTGATAGGACGTGGCTCCAATCTTGCTATACAAAATAAAATATTATTATATAAACAAGTCATAAAGCCTATGTGGACATATGGTATTCAACTATGGGGTTGTACCAAACACAACAATATCAAAATCATACAAACACTCCAAAATAAAATCTTACGTAACATGGTCAATGCACCTTGGTACATAAGGAATAAGGACTTACATAGGGATCTTAAGATCCCTGAAGTCACGGCGGAAATACAACGATTTGCCGCCAAACACCAGGCTCGCCTCAGCCAGCACGAGAATGTGGAAGCGACCAAACTCTTACATAACCGAAACATGGTCAGAAGATTAAGTGAATTGTGAATAGTGAAATGTAAATCTTATTGTCCCAATGGGTTTATAAGAGTGTAAACATTTATTTATTCTATATTATTATTGTAAAATGTAAATCTAATAAGACCAGTTTTAATAAAAACATTTAATTAAAAAAAAATATTGTTAGCTTGTAAGCAAAGGTTTATGTTTTATATTTTTTATATAACGTTTTTGATTCATAAGGAAATACATTTTTGTTTTAAAAGAAACAAAATAGAGTTGTCCCTCTGCAACTGTGTTCGTATTTTATTTCAAATCAAAATTCCTTTAATTTGGAGGCAGATCACCGGCCTCAAGGGGGTTCATCAAACCTTAAAGACGGAATATACTCATTCCTTAAAGGACCCACAATAAATAATTAAAACTGAAACAATATAAAAAATTTTTTTTTGTATATGGGGGAATATTTATAACAACAAATTATGTCCAGGCTCTCCCCTCCGTGCTGGAGACAGGAAAGCGAGAACGGATAGTTCAGTCTAGCCTAGGCATTAGAAGAAAAACAATAAGAAAAAATCCAGCTGAAAGCCAGTCAAAGAAACAAAATAGAGGTGTCCCTCTGCAATTGTGTTCGTATTTTATTTCAAATCAAAATTCCTTTGATTTTGAGGCAGATCACCGGCCTAAAGGGGGTTAATCAACCTTAAAAGACGGAATATACTCATTCCTTAAAGGACCCACAATAGAGTCAAAATAGAAACCTCGCTTTGGTGGCACAAACTATGCTTTAGTAAATCCACCATGGCAGTTTTGACATTCAATACTGCAACCACCTCTATAAAATATTACTATATTTTATGTTTACTAGGGTCGTTCGGAACAACGCGAGGGGCGCTGACCCAAACGGAAACAACGACAGCGGTTACGCAGCTTCCGCAGGAGATCCATCACACCAAGATCAACACCATGCCGAAGAAAAAAAGGTAAATAATTTATCCGTTTCACGTACTGTACCATAAATCAAATTGCATCGACCTAAAAAAAATTGAACATTTAAAAATTTTGTGCTTTTTATAAACATTGATTGATGTTTAATAACATATTAACATATTAAGACATAAAATGACAAATCATATATTTCAATATTTACTACATTTAAATTAATTTTCCAATAAAATAAGTATTGTTTAAAAAGAATTGCGGTAAAAATGTAAAAAATGACGTTTTAAAAGCACTTTTATTATAAATATTAAAGGTAAACACATCTGAGAACAAATAAACCAAAGCGGTGATAAGCGCTTCTGTTATTTCACAGTAATCCCCTTTGTGACAATATCGGATTTCTTCTTGGCTGTAGCATAAAGAGATCAGCGCTTATCTCACGTGCTCAATTTCACAGATAAATATATTCTTGTCGAACAAAGAAACTTTGCTGGCAAATGTATTAAATCACGTCAAATGGAAAATGTAGGATGCTCAATTACAGAATGGATCAATAGTTTTTCAAATTTCCTCGGCATTAAACATAATTACCATTGTGTGGTGTTTAGTGACCGTTAGTTAATGATTATTTGGAAATCGTAAGATGCGGACTGGTGTGACGTATGTTTTAGAAAAACATTTTCTTTATCGTGCCAACGTTTCGATCTTTATTGACATCATCTTCAGGACTTGGGATGTACAAACATTGTTTAAATTTAACAAATACATGTGGGATGTGGAAAAAAATGAATTTATACAATACAAAAAAATATATATTTATATTCAATCAAAGTATTTCTACTCACTCAAAGTGTTTGTTTTCTGCGTAATTGTGCTATTCTTGCACCATTGATTATATCAATAAAGCTCGAAACGTTGGCACGATAAAGAAAATGTTTTTTTTTTTATACCTACATTACACCAGACCGGGATTTATAAACATTTTTTAAATTATACAAATACATGTAGGATGTGAAAAAAGTGAATTTATACAATGATAGACATTTTTCGACTCAATCAATCTTACTGGCATTCTCAACACGCCACTCAATGACATATCCACACAGCAAAAACGCTTTAAGTGGGTACAAATACTTTGATTGAGTCTAAAATTTCTAGCATTGTATACATTCAATTTTTCACCTCCTACATGTGTTTGTATAATTCAAACAATGTTTATAAATCCCAGGCCCTGAAGATGCTCTCAATAAAGATCGAAACGTTGGCACTATAAAGAAAATGTTTCTCTAAAACCTACGTCACACTAGACCGCATCTCACGGTCTCCAATTCATCAGAATTACCAGTGTTATTTTCTGTATTTAGATAATATTATTACCCTATATAAGTTCGTATTTTTTAAACATTTTATTTTCGTATGTTTTAAATGCTATAGGTCGATCTGTGAATAATTAATATTTTGTTGTTTTTATTGGTAGTGGTTTATTGATGTTTTAAAATTATATGCATGTTTTTTCTATAATTACTAAATCAGTATGGATTGTATTGGTTTTCCGAAATAAATATAGAAATTATTTTCCTGTTTGCCGAAAGATTTTTGATTGGGTACATTTAGAAGATTGTAGACGTCAGATTCTCTAACGATGCTCGGACAGTTAAAGGACAGGAACCAGCAACAAGTTTATTTCGTTAGATTGAAAGTTGAAGTGTCACGGTGTAGGGTGATAGGCATCAAGATATTTCTTGGTGTGAAGAATCTCTGTCAGAACTAATTGACAGAATCACTGTTCTATTTCGAGTAAAAGTTTATCGTAATAACAGAAGTGTTTCCACTTCGTTATTTTTGTGTCGTTAACAAAACGTTAACTCGTCGTTAACATTATGCGCTTTACTGGTTCTCGAAATTAATGTTGGCCGACGTTGTTTTTAGTAATAACATGCTGCGTATAAATCTGTGGATAGGTGAAATCATGCTGAACCGACATGGGTCGCTTTTCTGTCCATCTTTATTCGCGGGTTTATTGAACTATTAAAACGCGTTTTGACATTGAGACATCTTCAGTGAGGAACTGCCAGTGAGGCTGTTTGGCGTTTGTTCTGTAGGTTGTCGCTATAGGCGTTTGTGGTGGGAGGTGTGGTGATAACGTTTATTGTTGGACAACAATGGTTCAAAATTAAATTTTGTTTACATGAAACTTCTTTAAAAACAACTGCAATTAAGTAAGGTTTTTAGTTGAAATAAAAAGTCAGTGCCACGAGCGGGATTCGAACCCACGACCTTCGGCTTGATATGCCACTACTCTACCACTTGAGCCATCGTGACCTCGACCACTCGGGCACTAACTTCCCATCTCAACACCCCAGTCGAGGTCACGATAGCTCAAGTGGTAGAGTAGCGGTGTATAAAGCCGAAGGTCGTGGGTTCGTATCCCGCTCGTGACACTGACTTTTTTATCTCAACTAAAAACCTTAATTAATTGAATGATATTAATTGGTCAAGCGGACCACGAAAAATAATGAATTTAAAAACAACTATGATATCATTGCGTTGATTTTATTCTCCCCAAGTATAAATTATACAGAAATTGTGTATTACCGATTATATCGACGCACGACTGATAAGTAACATTGATAAAGTTAAAACAGTAAACTTTCAGCGGTTTTGTAAAAACCGATGGTTTTAAAATAGATCAATTAACAGTAGAATTGTTATACTAAAACATCGAAATCATAAACATTTATAATTAAATTTCTTTCTCAATCAGGAAAACTAGTCGATGTTCATGAGGCAAGACGTTAATTGCAAAATTTCATTTTACTCAGTAACAGGAAAAAATCTGGTACAGAGATTTCTGTTTCACACAAATTGTAATACGATAGGTTTCGTCAAAAAGATTTCATGTTGGAGACATTTCTTATCGGCTTTATCACGGTCATAAAAAACAAGAAACATCACAATAGATTATCGACAGATCGACATTGGAATTGAATCCTCTTGATCCTCTTTCGTTTCCTTTTTTTACGGTGTTAGTAAAAAACACAATGAAGAATGTTTCCTTTTTTTAATGTTATGGCAAAGTGGTTTTAAATTATATATCTCTCATTTTTATTAAAACAAGTGCGTAGATTATATATAGCAAGCAATTATTCTTCCAGGATTGCGAGCTTGTTTTGTTTCTGACATACTGCTACACTCTGTATATCTACTCCATACGTCATGCATAAATATGGCGTTCGCTGCTTGATTAGACACGCTTAGCATAACACGATTATTAAATACATTTATACAAATGTCCTCTATTGAATTTGTAAATGATCATTTACCTTTTTAACTTTAAAACCGAGCGAAATATTGTAAGCAGATCCAAAAGGAATTTATGTTTTGATTAATTAAATTGAATCCTTTATGATGAAAGGGGTATTGGAAGGTTAAAATTCCTCAATATGTCCAATAGGCTTCTTGGGAATAAACGCAACCAAAGGCTTTGTGGTCAAGAGGACCACGTATTGGAATGCAATTACACAACGGATCAAAGTGAAGAAAATGGTAATATTCATAGATAAATTTTCACAATTGGCCCTTGATTATCAAAAATATTATTATGAAAGGACATATTTTGCATAAACTATTGTTTAAACAATAATAGTCCTATTTATGCTAAGTAAATACCAAGCTGGATTTAGTCATGGAATTATTATTTTTTTTTTTTTTTAAATCTCTCTCTCCCTTTTTCGCTCTCACTCACTCTCACTCTCTTTCCTCTCGCTCTCCTATTGTTATCCATATGTGCGAGGAATTCGCTTTAACAAAGCCGTTGGGAGGGCGGGTCTGACACTGGGGACTCGGGGCAACAGACCGACACCGCCCTGGGTCCTTCCAGCCGGGACGACCTCTCGGTATTGGGTCGTGTACACCGCCGCACCATTACCGAGCTGGGTTTTTAGAACTCAGATGGGAATTTCTGGTTTTCGTCTCGTCTTTTCGGACGGGTCCAAGTGCGTGTGTGTGTGTGTGTGTGTGCGTGTGGCGAGCGCCGTGTATAACGGGGGTTCGTCCATTTCATGGGTACTCCCGCGGCACTGCACCGTGTACACGGCGGAACTCTATGCGATCTGGCACGAACTCGGGGTGATTCGAGACATGAAGCCTCTGCCTTCCTTGTCTGTACGGACTTCCTCAGTGCAGATCGGCAATACAGGACAGATTCTCCACGGACCCTCTTGTCGTACTCCTTTTAGAAAGATATGCTGAGCTGGAGCGCCTGGGAAAAACGGTAGTAGTTGTCTGAAGGGCTGGAGGGCAACGAACGTGCAGACGAGGCAGCGAAAGCTGGGTCCTCTCGCCCTCCAGACCAAGTTACCGCGATCCGGCCCGGTGACGCTCTGCGAGCAGTAAAGAAGCTGTGAGATAGCGTTGGCAGCGTCAGTGGGCCGGGTCGTCCGAGAAGCTCCTGCAAGTTAAGGGCACGACTGAACGATGGCCCCATGAGAATCTGAAACGAAATGAAAGGATCGTGTTAACTCGGTTGTGGATTGGGCATACCCGTCTGACACACGGACATCTGCTTCTGAGTCAAAACCAAAAGGTTGCTCAGTGTGTCTCATCTTGTCGAAGAGTGCCGTGCCTTGGCCCCCTACAGTGAGCGAGTAGGCATGAACCCCGACATAAGAACGGTACTTGGGCGAGTAAGTGAGCAAGTGTTGGATCCCCTATTCAGCTTTTTAAGTGAAACGGGGGTGTTTCCTCACTTTTAAATATCTGTGTTGTGTTTCATTGTGTCGTGTATTTATTTGTAAGTAATTTATTTATTTGTTTGTTGTAAGTGAGTGATCTTTTTAGACTGTAGGGGCCGATGGCGGAATAATGAGTACACCATTGGCCCTAACAGTGCAGTGCGAGGGGGCTGAAATGACTGGAAGCCCCCAGGTTTAAAGAAAAAAAATCCATATGTGCGCCCATATTTTACACAGTAATACAAATCTCATAGATATTGAAGATAATTAACAAGCCGAACGAGTAACAACTAAATCACCTTGTTAAGAATTTTCTTCTTGTTCTCTGAGCCGCACCTGTGCCAAGCGAATGAGTTAGGAGTTTAGCGGTATGAACTTGCTGTTGACAGGTGGAAATCAATGGCATGGTAAACCGCAATATTGGAAAATCTAAAAACAATATGCGGCCAGCGGAGAGTTTGACAACAGGAAATTTCTGCCTTAGCGCAAAACAGTTTATACTCAGACATAACAAAGAGAAATAGGTAGGAAATGGATCAACGTGCTTAAATAAGTACAACAATCCAGACCACTTATTTCTATCAATTTTAAAATAGTTTTGTAATTCTGAATTTTGTTCTTTGATTACCTTATACAAATACACGACCTCGTAAATAGTTAATAAGGAGCAATTTTTCTGTAACGTTGATTTATGTCACACCTGAAGATTAAATCCAATCGGCTAGTTTCCCTATTATTGATGTTTGTCCCTATTATGATTATATTGTAGATATATAAATAGATTTTTTTTCAATTACAAATTCTTATGTCATCGTAATTTCAATTTTGCTACATGTGCTTTTTATAAATATCTTACCTATCCAATTGGAGGTTATCTATCTAAAAGAAACCTGTACCTTCATGAAATGTAATGGAATTCTAGAAAAAAAAGTAACATCTCTTTAGCTTTACTCACAGTTTGTCCAGTTTGTTTTTTTACAAACTGTGAATAAGAATTATCTTTAAACGAGATTAAACAACATACTCACCCCACCTTATTATCATTTCTTTAAATTACTACTGTTACTCTATTACTTATTATTTCTATAAAAAGTAACATTGCTGGTATCTCTCAATATCTTGTTCTTGTATCTATATCTTTAAAATTTTCATAGCCATTTGTTAAAATTTTATAAATATAACCATTCTTAACCAATGTTTTGAGTTTGCACATATGAAGAAATATCCAATATTATAGATAAAAAATTATATCACGCAAATAAACTAAATTGATAAAGAATATTTTTAATCTCCGATTTATTGGAGAAAAAAAAGAATAATTTGTTATTCAAAAGAGGACAATATGAAGAGAACTTATTAACAAGTATAAATAGGCAACAGGTGTCCCATGACACACTTTTTGTAATTACAATTTATGAATATAAACAGAATAAAATTAACATTAAATAAAATTGAGTATAAAGTCGAACAGACATGGATAGTCAGTGGGTGAAATAGTAACAGGAGGGTGAAAATATTCAGAATATCCAACGAATTCACCGAAATAAATTAAAATAAAACTAGCACAATTACAATAAAATTTCCCATCTGATGGTATGAGTGTAAAAAATTTGCAACAAGGTAAATAAATCTTTCATTCACGTAAATGTAGCCAAAGAGCATAAAAATAGAGAGTAGGCCCTTTGAAAGCCGGAAATGTGAGGATATGTTCCAACCCTGTCCTCCATATTTTTACCCTTAAAAATATTCTCTCTGTAACTTTGTCTTTATTTACCCCAATAAATTATTCTGCATGCATTGTACAATTGTTTTTTAATGGGTTTAGATTTAATTGTAAGTCAGTATTTCTCTATTACACTTGACTTTAATTTAATTTGCCGCTCATTCTATTTTATTTTAATTTAACTCTTGGTTGATTTGTCCTTGTTAATCGCTATCGATGTTTTCATGTATCTATTACTGGATTCTCGTAATTATGCTAGGAGTTCGAAAAGGTACATGAAACCTCTATATCATTCTCTTTTCATTTATTGTCTTATTTATTTTCACTTTTTCATTTTTTCTCGTGTCGCAGGGGTTTTTCTTTGTAACTTCGGTTTTTAAATCTGTCTTTTAGATACTTCGTTCTTATTTAATCTCTTGTGCCGTTTGTGTTTCTTTGATTTTTACCATCTAGCTCTTATTTCCCTCTCTCCGTAAACACTTGTCCGTTGGTTTTATTGTCTGTCAGCCTGATGGTCATTCTTTCTATTTGTCTGTCGATATGGATTGCTGTCTGGCTATCTACCTCTTTGTCGGATGTTCTTTCCGCCTGTTTTTCTTCCCGTCGTTCTTTCTGTACGCCTACCTGTTTTGCTGTATAACGATATATTTTCTGTACTTATGACTGTCTATCGGAATTTGCATCTGTCTGTCGGTTAATGCGTTGGTCAGGCGGAATTTGCATCAGCAGGCCGGCGGCTGGTGCTCGATCAGTAGCACAGACGGGGAAGGGCACCAGATCCTGTCTGCAAAGGCGGGAGAGAGAGCACAGAGAGCATAGCTCTCCTATACTACGGTGTAGCGCAAAGTTCCAAGTTCCAAGACCTGGCACGCGCTACATGGGAATAAAATCGTAGTGATTTAGTGGGGAGACCCCTGGGAGGGTACTTAGAAATCCCACTATAAACAATACCCGTGCCCGGAGCGGATCCGACGCTGGTCGGGACCAACACTTTTGGAGATACAGTTACCTTCTCTATCTAGATAGTATAACATGTTAGTCAACAGATTTCAGTACCGAGTGAGCGGCGCCTTTCCAATAGCCTTGCGGCACACTGTCGGGAGCATAAATGACGGCCAATCTCCTCGGAAGAGCCACCGGGACAAGTCAACTTAGTCTGTGGCTGCTACACAGTATTAACACTGATCATTTGTGAGCTGAGATGTGTCGTTCCTATTTTGAGAATCTAAACGTGAGATAAGGCCATGTGCCAGGTGCGCACGCTAAAGAATCCTGATGGCATTGCAACCCCCCATGGGATATAATATCGGTCGGTTAATCTGGTTGGCTATAGAATAGTTATTCTTTCTATTTCTAGTCAGTACTTCGGCATATCATTCTGACTCTGTGTATCAGAAAACTATCTGCAAGCCGTGCGACTTTTCGTTTTTCGGTTCGTTTTTTATGACTGTCTGTCGGGCTGTTTTCATGTATTTCTGGTTTTCTGGCTTTCTCCCTCTCCCCCCTCATCACTCTCTCTCTTTCATTCACTTTCACTCACTCCCTCCATTTTCGTGTTTTCTCCATTCGTACAGATCTGTCCCTTATCCTCTTTCTGTGTCACATTCTCTCTTTATTTCTCTCCCTCTTTCTCTTTCATTTTATCTCTCTCACTCACTCTCTCTCTCTACTTTCCTGTTTCTACGTTCGTACAGTTCGGTCTCTTATCCTATTTCTCCGTCTCCTCTCTCATTCTTTCTCTCTCTCTCTCACTCTCTCTACATTCATGTTTCTCAGTTCGTACAGTTCAGTCCCTTATCCTCTTTCTTTGCCACATTCTCTCTTTATATCGCTCTCTTTCTTTTTCGATATCTCACTCTCTCTCTCTTGTTCAATCTCTCTACTTTCTTGTTTCTCCGTTCGTTAAGGTCGTTCCGTTATTTTCCTTCTCTGTCACATACCCCCTTTTTTCTCTCTCTCTTCTCTTTCTCTCTCCTCTCTCTCTTACTCTCTCTCATTCACTCACTCAATCTCCCTACTTTCCTGCTTCTTCGTTCGTTCCTTTCGTTTATGAATGAAAAACTTTTGTTTAAACAATTATGCTATTTCAAGTTTGTATTTGAATGAACACATTTTAATAATGGGAATTTTTCGACATCAAATGAGTATGCTTTACTAAAAGAAACATATACAAACTTCCATTTACGTGCTGGATTTGGAAAGCTATTGTAATTAGTTTGAACTTAATAACTGAACTGCTAATATCGTATTAATGTATCATCACTGACTTCGATATTGCATTACCGTTAATGAACAGTATACCGAATGCATTAAGGACATTATCTCTGTTGTATTAAATGGTTGCAGCGTTTCGGAATTCCCTCACGGGTCCCACAAATAATAGGAGTTGGAACCTTACTTGAGAGTCACGTCCATGGGGCCCACATATTTCCTTCTTGCCGAATGCCACTACTAATCCGTTTACTACGAGCCACGGCCACCTTTTCAACGTCAGCACTTTTTCCAGCGGCGGAAATTAAATTTACCTCGTCAACCAGTCTCCACATGCCTTGTTTCCTCTGCCATTATCCCATTTACAACGTAAGATATAAACAACTGCCATCTCTTTGCACACTGATAATAAATAAATTGAATTGATGTAATTTGTTGCCTTGTGATGAACACGTGCGGGATTTTTATGTTTTTGTATTATTTCTAGGTTTTTGTTATTAAATAATTTTGGTGATAAGGTTAAGTGTAAAAGAACTTGGTATTTTATGTTAGTTTAAAGCGTCTTTTTTTACTTTAGACATTTATAACTTAACGTTCAAAACTCACACAATACATTTTCCATTTTTTCATTTAAAACCTTCCTTTCTTCACTTTGTTTAGGATATTCATACGGCAGATTATATTGACCAAATTTGATTATTTCAGCATTACCCCTAGCCAGAATTTGATTGTCGACTCTTTGGTGTCAAACTTGGCAAATAGTTAGAACCGAGAGAATGATCAAGCTGAATTAATGGCCCCGTGATAATAGGATACGAAATGATTTATAGGGGCAATAAAGGCAATTTGTAAAGTATCACCGATCACGTCGTCACAGCTCATTTTCTTACATGATTTACCCTAGGCTTATTTCAATTTATATACTTTCTTGCTGATCACTTCTTTATTTTTCAGTGCGGTGTCGTCGAAGAAGCCGGCCAGAGCGTGAAAAGGAACGGCTCTGCGGCAGGACGTGGCGGCCGAGGACGCGTGAGCGCCGTCCGGGCGTCATCGGAAGACGAAGGGACGACCAGTGGGAGCAAAAAGGAAAGAAAAGCCTCGGCTGCCTCAAGATTCACAATTTATAAAGTTAACAAAGCGTCGAGAAAAAAGAGGGAAAAAAGCTCAGCAAAGAAAGAACGGAAGGCTACAAAGACCCTAGCAATTGTGCTCGGTAATCATCTTATTTAACATTAAATAAAATATTTTTTAATTTACTATTATCAAAGGCTAATTAAAAAAATCAAATAATATTTCCTAGAACCCCAGCCATAAATAAAACTCAATAATTATTTTTTTTTATAATTTTGAAAGTAATTAATTTTGATATAAATAACGAGTAAACCGATCATGCTTCTTGTTTAATAAGAAGATAATTAAATGTTAGTAAAATTAACTAATTCTATTGTTTAATTTCACTAATGTTTACTACCTTTGTCAGTTTTTTTACCCTGCATACCTTTCATTAATTCCATATAATATAAAGTTTATTAATATGGTGCTGTAAACCGTGTTTGAAATAAAAATCTTTAATTGAGGCTTTAAGTCCTTTTTGAATACCACATATTTATAAACATTCAAGCCTAATAAGACTATTCAAAAATGTTCGTTTAATATGGATGCATTTTTCGACACACCATTGGAAAAACAATTTACTAGCTTTTTGCATGAATTCTGGCGCCATTTTCTAATAAGAAAAAATTGCTCGGTAAACATTATTATTATTTTTTTGGCTCGCAACAGCAGAGGTCATATAAACCCTTAGAGTGCCGGTGTTTTTGGAAAAAAGCCCATACGTAAGTATGTCCGGTTCTAATACAGCACCGCTGGATTCGAACCCGGGACCTTTACCTTACAGTGATGATCGCCGTGCCAACGCCTAAACAGTTGCGGCTACCGACGCCCCTTACTCGGTAAACGCTAAAAGAGTTAATTATAAATTTTTACAATTTTAAATTGATAATAAACCAATTCCCTCAAACAAAAGATCATTCGGTATTAACAAATTAGACTAGAAAACTACAGACGCAAATTTTTTATGTATTACATACTTTTGTAAAGTTAAAAATATATAAATACATAAAAAAATTGAAAATTTCGGAAAAGTGGAAAAAAATTATGATTATAACGAATGAACTAAAATCCAATGCGGTGTTCAAAGACATCACGTTCAGCCACAACGGATCAAACCAATCTGGTAAAAACATAAACGGCTAGTTTTAATTTCAATTTTGAAAAATGCTTACAATGGACCTGATAAAGTTTTAGACAGAAATAAAACTTTTGGGAATCGGACGTTTTATTACGTATATCTTATACATATTCATACATTAAAAAAATATAATATCAAGAATGTGTCAACTGAAGAAATTCGCCTTTAACTAAAAAGCTTGTAGCACCCTCTGCTAACGGGGTATTTTCGTATTCTGGGCAAACTTTCGGTTTCGGAAGTATTCCGCTTAAGGGTGGGCTACTACCGGCAAATTGGAACCTGATCCGGGTTTTTTGGAATATTTTACCTAGGGCCGAGGTGTAGGGAGGACGACGAGGGGCGTATTGATTTTAAGTCGTCGACGCTTAATAAAATTGAGGGACAAAAGGGTCAGAAGGGACGGACGATCACTCTCCCTCCAAATACTGGAAACTAGTCTCTTTCTCACCTCTTGTCACCTTTCAGAGCCGCTCGTCACGGCCTCCCTTATCGCAGATGTCTCTTGAACCTCGGCGATCTTTCAGATATTATTCCTCCAATTTATCTCCAAGCGGACCCTTGAATGTATCTTCAAAGTCTGCTGCTGACCATTCTTTTAATAAGTAATAAAAACAGTATTTATATAATTGATTTATAAAAAAGTGCAATACATGCAGGAAAATTATTCTAATCTGCCAACTATTTTACGCAATAAGCAAAATTTAAAACAAACACAACAAAATATTCGGTGTAAAATGTTGCAATAATTTCTAATCTGTTATCTCAGGGCTATAAACATTTGTAAATGAATATAAATATTAGTACCTTTAATGTATGTGGTATATCATATTTATTGGAAGAATGGAAATGTATTTATTAGATTAATTCATATAACTTCGGCGGTCATAATTGAACGTATTAATGATTTCAGTTAAGCATTCTTTTTATTTCAGGTCTTGGTTGATATGAAAAAGTCACTGGCTCGAGCGGGATTCGAACCCACGATCTTTGGATCAATACGCCGCTGCTCTACCACTTGAGCTATCGTGATTTTGATCCTCTCAGACGCCAACTCCTCATCGAGTTCCAACCAATTCTCAATTCTCTTTTTACCATTTTCCATCTCAACGAAGACCTTAGATAAAAAGAATAATTAATTGAAATAATATGGTCAATTATGATCGCTAAACATATGGATTAATATAATAATTAAAGAAGTAATCACTTCGCTAACACCTCCCGTCGTCATTTCATAATATTGATATTCGAATCCTGATTATACGACATTTGAAAAATGGGAAAAAGAGGGAAAATTCGAAAGCTTGTAGGTTAAGATGAGGAGTTGGTGTTTGAGTGGACTGAAGTCACAATAGCTCAAGTGGTTAGAAAATCGGTGTATTGAGCGGCACGTCGTGGGTTTGAATCCCGCTCGTGACACTGATATTTTCATCTGAACTAAGACCTTAAATTAAAACAAAATTAATTAAAGCATTTAGTATCGTGAATTGAGAGGTTATCCACAATTACCGAGAGGCATATTAAGTACTGTGAGGTATTATAGGGTATTATGAATATGATATGTGATGTAATTTACTAGTATGAATAGGCTTATGCTCAATTACCCCGTGGAAATTCGAGTATTCTTGTTCAGCTAGTCTGATTTTTACTGTGCGAATTCAATTTAATTGCCTGAATGTTATTCTTAGTTATTAATTAGCGCAAGATATATCGAGTACTTTAGGTAAAGTGAATGAAATATTGATTGAAATATTAATTATTGTTGTATGTAAATGTAATTTATTTGAGCGGATGGAAGGACGTAAACCACAATCACCCTAGGAATGTCGAGTGTCGACAGTGAATGAATTTTTGTGTGTTAATTTAATTTATTTCCTCGATTACCCCGAGGAATTTAGAAAACTTTCGGGTAGTGTGAACGAATTGTTCTGAGTAAATGTAATTTATTTGCGGGAATGGAGTTCTCATCGCCAAACAATCCGAGGATTAACGAGATCTTTTAAGTTAGTGTAAATAATAACCAGACTATCATGTTGTATCTTTTTTCTCGTTTTATTGTGCAAGTGTGTATCGAAAATTGACGAGGTCCTGAGAAGCAGAGTGTCTAGCGATATGGTATAGAAAAGAGGTAGAGTCCGTTACCGTCTCATACATCAGCATAACAGGAAAAAAACAGTAGCATTTAAAGCGAGGTGACAGGAAAAGAAATGCAAAGAAATAGCGAGGTGCAATGACCAATGTAGTTCGTCAGGGCCTTAACATAATAATAAAAAATAACAATATTTTAAAAAAATAAACGTGCTTAATGTACCTTAATATCGCGACTTTTTTAGAATTCCCTTTATTCGCATAAAGTTGATCAGCTTTGATGGGTCAAAAGAAGCAGTTTTTTCATAATTTTATCGTTGTCTTATTAAACATTATTACAGAACCCCCTATATTATACAATTAGACAAGGCGACTCTTCTCTTTTGAGGTTTAAACTTTTCGTTAGTTCCATTATTCGTTTATATTCTTTCCTAACTCTAACGAGCTTAAAATTGACGCAAATTGGTTCTAATATTCAATTCATAAATTTCAAAAGAGCCATCACTGAAGAGATTTTCCGAATAATTATTCTTCCCTTTTATGTATGATCTCAAGGAATGTCAAAGCGATGGTGTCTTAGGGCACTTCAATGTACCATCTCTTCACTATTGAAGTTTAGGCTCGTAGTCATTAAAGGTTTACGCATTGATGAGTGCTCTATTTGGTTTAATATTGTACTCCAATTACCTACATTGATTAATGTTTTGTACCGACTAATACTAAGTTACTCGTTGTTCTTTGTTTTAATACCTATAATATTCAGGTAGGTGATTGGACATATTATATCTTCATTTATATCCAACGGGGCGTGTAGAACTAATCCATAATGTTGTCTCCTTTATTATTATGACTATTGCATTTAATTAATCCACAAATTGTATTATTGAGTATGTAATTATTTTAAAATGTAAGCCGAATAGCTAAATTATTATTAGTTAATTTTTAACAAATTTAAAAACTGGTTGTAACAAATGTTCATTGAGATTATAAAATATAAAAACAACTTTTCGTATATTGTCATAAAACTAAAATAATATTACTTAAGGAATGATCAAACTTGATTTAGCTTTTTTTTGTTCGTTGCAGTTTCAAATATAAAATTGCGTTTTATTGTTTTATCTAATTTATATAACTTAATTGTGAATTATTGATTTTATGATAAATTATGATTTTACATTTTAGCTATCGCCAAGCCAGCCTCACTCTGCCTACGGAGTCATGGTAGCCAACAACTATTTATTTATTTAAATATTTTGATAATATTTTTTTACCACTCATTATCGTCCATCTTCGATAAGAAAGACTCTGTAATAATTTGTTAAAAAACCTTTGAATAAGAAATAAGTGTTCGAAAAAACCTTTCTATAATGAGATTTCATGGCTTAATTTATTTAAATAAACTTTTTCCCCTGCGTGCCTTAGATCTGATATCAAATTAAAACTTTTAATTAACGGTTGTAATTGGGCAGGTTCGGATTGTAAGAAATGTGATTTTACGGAAAGAAAAAGATTATTTCACAGTCTGAGATTGGTTGTCTCGATCTGAATATTGTAAAATGTGAAACTCTATGCCTAAAGAAAAGACAGAGTGGAGCAAAAAAACGGATAATATGGTTATATATATATTCCACAGTGTAATTTGCATCTTCTTGTACTGTAATTTTTCTTACACACTCAAACTCAAAAAAGTTGAGTTTTAATAAAAATTGTTTAATTACGATGGTTTGACAGAAAATTCACAAAAATACCTGAAAATTAATTTAGCGACAAACTGCATTGTAACAAACTATTTAATGCATAGTTTAGTTCTTCTTCACGCGGATTACCTTCTGGGGACTCGCGGAAAACCGTACGTCTTCTAGGCACTGACTAAATGAGTGATCGAGTTTTGTCCTTTGGAACAGAATTTACTTCAACAAGAGCGGTTTGAAACTTCTCAACCTACTGGAGTCGGCGAACGTCTAAACCGTCTGTAACATGTCTCATAAATGTTCTATCTATGCGATTCATATCAGGAGAACGTGCTGGCCAATTCATTGTGGTAATCCCTTCATCCTGCAAATAATGGGTGACATCTCGAGCTACATGCGGTCGAGCATTGTCATGCATTAACACGAAGTTATCCCTAATAAATAGAACGAATGGGACCACAGCTTACAGCTGTTTTTAACTTGGTACAAAAACGACAAAGTTATGGCAAAAAGGAACTGGCGGCGTAATTTCGACGAAGAGCCGAATATTTTACTGTTTGTTCGCGAAAATCCGAATTCCTCTTTCCAAAATGGTGGAAGGGTTTTAGATTTTTCAAAAAATAAAATTAGATAAGTACTTCGGACTTACAATTTTAAGCCTTATCGTTCTCATATTGTCCCCAACTCTGATTAGGACAGGCGTATAACACTCCTTGCATAAATGTCGATTTGGGAGGATGAAGAAAAGGTTCTTCCATTCTCCTACGGACTGATGAATCCAACTCGACCTCTACTCGCCTACTGAACTGTTGGAATTTTCGAACGTGGGCAGAGAAAAATCTGAGAATTTCGTGCTCTTATCATCAGGGGCTCACAGTATTAACCTTTGTTGTGGACTTCTCGGGAATAAATTATTTTGGGAATAATTTAAATGGTGCTCACTACCTCAATTTTTTGAGAGAGGTTTTACCAACACTATTAAATGATGTTTCTCTGCAACAACGACAATCATGATCTCCAGCTTGATTGATACTCTGGATACAATTGTTTGCAGGTGAGACATTATTTGAATCGTCACTTCCCGGAAGCATCCTCCGACATCCGATTTAATTTTCTCTGGGCCCATTTTTAATACTGTACTTACCCCTATCATAATTAGCAACCTCAGTTGAAGAACTGGGGCAAAGGGTAGGAAATGCTTGTCAATCATCTCCCCTGACTTTATCCTTCTGAGCACCGGTGAAGAGTGGATAAAAAATGAAATATTTTCATATTTTCGCAAGGCCGGCAGTTGAAACAAGAAATGTGATTAATAAAAAAGAAACCAAATGACTTTTTCCCTTGACTTTGTCATTTTCGACCAATTTAAAATCCAATTGCACAATTGTTTTCAGTATAAAAAATCGTTTAAAATGATGTATAGGGTCGTATTTAAAATTTTGAATTTGAAATGGGCCTGAAATACCTTGCATCATTTTCTCCAAAAAAAGGTAAACATTTGAAACCAGGCTAAAAAATAATAAGCATGTATTTTTTTTCACGTTCACTGAAATTCAGCCGGACCATCTAAAAAGGACCCTGTATATCGGGGTATAAAGCCCCGGAGGTTGTGGGTTCGGGTCCCGCTCGTGACACTAAATTTTCTTCACAACCACACATTACATATCAATTATAATTCAGTTGTTTTATCATTTTTATAATCCGTTAATTGAAAATATTGAATGATCACGTACCCACTAGGTGTTCTTTATTCTGCCTGTTTTGTTGTCAGTTTTATGTAAGTTCATACGAATTACCTAATCTGCCGTTTAGCCATTTGGTACTCAAAATAAAATAAGCAATAAACACTTCTCACTGTTTTAGCCGTGTCTTTTAACAAGATGATGTTCAATATAGCCGGAGACTGTTTCTGTATGTTCCCGTTTGAATTTTAAATTTTCGTGTTGTCGGCCGAGGTGAGCAAAGAACAGCGGTTTACAAAAGATTCTGGACTTTTTAAGCACTCCATCATTCTTCAATTTGAAAATGGTAAATAACATTAACTCAATTAGATATACACAATTTTTTCGAAATGAAAAATTTGTGTCACAGGCAAGGTTCGAACCCACGACTTTCGGCCAAATACGCAGCTGCTCTACCCTATGAGCTACCGTGACCGTCGAAATGGGAAGTTTGTGCCATGGGCGATCAAAGTCACGGTAGCTCATGTAGTAGAGCAGCGGCGTATTTAGCCGAAAGTCGTGGGTTCGAATCCTATCCGTGACACAAAGTTTCCATTTTCAAAAAATTGTGGATAATTAATTGAGTAATTATATAATTAGGTATAAATTAATAAAAATAATTAAAAGTTACATTGTTATGTTCAATTTTAATTTTTTTTAAATTCTCTGCCAAAAAAAAAATTGAAACTGAACAGTGAATTTCCTAAAAATATTTGCTAATAATAAAATATACCTGTGTAAATACTTCATAATAAAAACTTACTCTAGAACAAATAGCTGTTAATTGGTCAAATATTGTTTTAAAGGAATCTAATTAGGTCATGGCGTCTCAGATGTCGCAGTATCTGAATAAACAGATTAGTCCAATTTTGGACGAATTAATAATACATCTCCTTCATGAATGTTGTCGACAATGGATGTTGATCGAGGGCCCATGTGGCAAATTGGGCAGCAATTAGACAGCGGTCAAAATCGAAACTTTCTTTATCAACTGCAAATCTACAAAACTTCCTAAATGTACGAACAAATCATGCCTGTTTAATCTGATTACTTGTTTTTGGCTCTTTTCTCCAACTTACACAGACACATAAGGAAAAACGTATTAACGTTTATAATTATAATTCAGGTATAATTGCCAACAGTGTGACCACGCATTCCAATCAGATGTTCTCAATGTTCCAAGCTCTCTACTACGGGATAATAATCTCTCATCGACAATGACCTCAAGATTTTCTTCTCTAACTCTCAATTTGTTCTTGCTTACTGAAGTTTCATTTCAAATTTTCTCTAACCCTTACCCTTCCGGGGTCACGCCCTGTCCATTATTTCCCATATTAGAATCCTCTGTGCAGATATAAACGACACTTGCTCAGAAATATACTTTTCTTTTAATCTCTCGACAGTGCATATGCAAAATTTTTGGTTTCTCAAAACAGTACCGAAGTGAACGTAGTCTACTGGTGACGACAAAACACGACACACCTAAGAACACATTCTCTCCGTAAGAGCGCCGACATTCCTCGGATCTGGTTATTACTACACATTCACGCTAATAAATCATACTTCACGATAACATATGATATTCCTAGACGAAACATTTTGAATCCTTGTTAACACTCATTTGCTAAATTGCTATCCGTCCCCGCTGATGGCGTAACTCAACCTGCATAGTTTTAATTTTCTGGATCGAATGAATGAATAATAGTATATATTTACCTAGAATAGAAACAAACTTCAAATATTTTACAAAATACCTTTCGGCATGGACAACAGTCCGTCACCCGGAGTAGATTTCTGCATTGTAAAATATGCACCATTGATAGATAATGGGCACTGACGATGTCTCTTTCCCTCCAGCAAAAGCTCACTAACACATAAAAAAAATTAATAAAAAACTATGTAACTATATCGCAGAGTATACGTTTTTACTTAACTATTAGTATTGTTTTATATTATCAAATCTAAGCTCTCAACCACGATTTACTATTATCTCTCATTGACAATGACCTCAAGATTTTCTTTTCTAACTCTCAATTTGTTCGTGCTTACTGAAGTTTCACTTCAAATTTTCTCTCACACTTACCCTTCCGGGGTCACGACCTATCCATTATTTCCCATATCAGAATCTTCTGTGCAGATATAAACGACATTGGCTCAGAAAAATACTTTTCTTTTAATCTCTCGACAGTGAATATGCAAAATTTTTGGTTTCTCAAAACAGTACCGAAGTGACCTTACTGCTAACGACTAACACGACACACCTAAGACCACATTCTGTCCGTAAGAGCGCTGACATTCCTCGGATTTGGTTATTACCACACATTCACGCTAATAAATCATACTTCACGATAATACTTGATATTCCTAGACGAAACATTTTGAATCCTTGTTAACACTCATTTGCTAAATTGCTATCCGTCCCCGCTGATGGCGTAACTCAACCTGCATAGTTTTAATTTTCTGCATTGAATGAATGAATAATGGTATATATATACCTAGAATAGAAACAAACTTCAAATATTTTACAAAATACCTTTCGGCATGGACAACAGTCCATCACCCGGAGTAGATTTCTGCATTGTAAAATATGCACCATTGATAGATAATGGGCACTGACGATGTCTCTTTCCCACCAGCGAAAGCTCACTAACACATAAAAAAATTAATTAAAAATTAATAAAAAACTATGTAACTATATCGCAAAGTAAACGTTTTTTCTTAATTATTAGTAATGTTTTATATTATCAAATCTAAGTTAGAAAAATGGTAAATTGTTTTAATTAAATAATTTATAAATATATTTTTATAAACAATTGAAATTAGTATATTTATTTTTTTGTGGAAAATATTTTTATTTTTACAGAACAAGCTGAAATTTTTGGACGTTTCGAATACTGCAATTGTATACTACATCTTGCGCATTCTGGTTAAGACAAGAGTATGAAATGTGACAATTTTGAGGTTCTAAGAAAGATAAACTATGTATCTTATGAAATGTAGTGTTATTAATGTATTAATAGATTTATATATGTATGTAAATAAAGTACAATTGCTTAATCAAAAGCATCTTTACGTAAAATACTAATTTCTTACACAAATTTAGCATTATATTTTTTCAATTCTAAACACATTTGCATTCATTCATTTTTATTTACAGGTGTGTTTTTGTTTTGCTGGGTGCCCTTTTTTACGTGCAACATCCTGGACGCCCTTTGTTCCAAATTGGGAGCGGATTGCCAGCCCGGTGTGGCCGCTTTCATCCTCACCACCTGGCTTGGTTATATGAACAGTTTTGTTAACCCGGTGATTTATACGATTTTCAACCCTGAATTCCGGAAAGCGTTCAAAAAACTCATGTCGATCGGAACGTGAACGACAAACAATAATGTATATAAGTTCTCTTTCCCCCACCCCCATGTATGTTGTTGCGAGTGGACTCACAGTGTATATATACTATTTACCATCATTTCAGACTGAGTAATATATTTTTGTGATATTGTGTATAAAGCTATGAACAGATTACGTACATAGTTAATAATGTGCTTCTACGCTTATCATCTTAACAGTTTAAATGTTGTACATAAATGTATTATAAAAACTATAAAAATTCTTTGAGATAGTAATGTTTAATTATAAGTGTATTCTGAAAAAAGGGTCTGAGGTCCCATTTTGAGCCGATGGAACAACAGATCCTTTAATTTTGTTTTTAGGGCCGGTACGTACTTAGCCTAGAAAGTATCTCATAGATTAAGACATAATAGTTGTTCGGGATTAACGTGGTAACAACACTTATCTCTCCGATTTGACTTTGCTAAGAGTTGAGATAAGCTGTTTTGTATTTAATAAATATTAATTACCCCAGTCCTTCATTATTCCTCCCTCGACAAACCCCGTAGTCTTGTAGTTACCGTCCAAAATTTTAAAAATTAATTGATAATTTCCTGGACCCCTTTTTGCATCGGCTGTGATGATGTTATCGAGAGCAATCTTACAAATCGATCGCATCTCACTACCATCTTCCCTGTACATAAATTGTTATATAAGGTAGAGGTTAAGGGTGAAAAATTAATAGTGTTATATCAAAACAAAATTGTTAGATTATTATAGAACTGTTTGTTTTTCTAGAATCTTTATTTACGTTTTTTTACAAATATTTTATATCAATTACTAATAAATACAGGGTTCTACACTGGTGAAAACAAGAATAAAAATACATCCCAATTAGAGTAACTTTCTTGTTGTATATATTATGTATATTGAAATTATTTATTAAAAAAATGAGATTTAATAAAATAGATCATTAGATTAATGCCCAGTGTGGTTTTTTTATTCCGTGGAATGTGAAGACGAAACGGTCTTAGCAACGAAATTATACTATTCTACTCAAAATTAACAGTAAATTGTTATCGTATCAACACAAATGAATGTTCACGTAATATTTTTATATATTTTCCAAAATCTTTTTGGACCAAAGCATCTCGTCAAATTCTGTCATAAATTGAAATTTTTTTCTTTGTGCAATAAATGTATGTTAATGAGATAGATTGCGATAAATTGTTAGTTTAAAGAAAGGAATATCCTCATTTTCTATTATTAAGAACACGCATAATATAGCGAGGGTAAAGACAATTGTAACTAATAATTTGGTGTACAAAATATTGTAGTTTGTATAAATAAAGTGAAACATATGTGACAAAATGTGTTACCCTTAAGCAAATAAAAAAGAATAAACATCCAACTTTTCTTTTGCTAATCACAAACCCACCATCCTTCTTCCTACTTCTTCCTATTCTTTAATCTCGTTTGTATAAATAAATATTTTCAATATTTTTGTTTTTTAGGAACATGCACTTTTTGGAAGTAAAACAGATGCAAAAAATGACAGGCGCAAGAATGCGGGCACTACATACATGGCATAATTAATCACAAGTTCTAAAAAAATATTTAAAAAAATAGAGAGTTTAAATTCACAAATCTTCTTAGTCTCTTTATTATTATAATTAGATTAAAGTTTTCATTTTTTCGAATTCAGATCCGCTGGATTCGAACCCAAGACCCTCAAATTGATGAATCTTCCTGCCAACGCTCATTAATGGGTGTTTGTTGTTAAAAAAATCTCAATTGTACGACGTAAATGTATGTAATAATATAATACATATAAAATTATAACATTTTGTTGCGGAGTGACAACAGGACCGATCCAAGGATGATGATGAGGACCACCGTGAGGCGTGATGTGCGGAAAATACAATCTGATTGGGCAAGAGGCTACGCCTGGCTCTCGGATCGAAAGGAAGGACTGATAAAACCGAAATTGCCGTAAGCCTGATTGATTGTTGCTGCAGGGTTTAATTCCTGCCATTTCTCCTGGGTAATTTTTAATTTAGTGTGTGGTGATTCATGACCGTTAATCGATAATTATTCAGAAATCGTGAGATGCGGTCTGGTGTGATGTAGGTTTCAGAAAAACATTTTTTTTATCGTGCCAACGTTTCGATCTTTATTGAGATCATCTTCAGGGCCTGGGATTTACGAACATTTAACAAATACATTTAAGATATGGAAAGTGAATTTATACAATGCAAAATATATTTTTTATATTCAATCAAAGTATTTCTACTCACTCAAAGTGTTTATCTTCTGTATAATTGTGCCATTCTTGCGTGTCGTTTTGAGAGTGCCAGTGAGATTTTGCTATTTTGTGTTTATATTGGAAGGATGGGATGATAAAGAAAATGTTTTTCTGAAACCTACATCACACCAGACCGCATCTCACGATTTCGGAATAATTTTAATTTAGTTCTAATCGAAGCTTGTAACTGTTTTTAGTTTCTGTTTCGAATAAAAAAGTACGTATGAGCTGTTGTACAATATTTCCGCTCTTTTCCAAATATCCTTATATCCTGGTAAGGAGAAAGTTTTCGGTCAATATTAAATTTGAAATCTTAAACAATAGGTTTATTATTTTATTTATAGTGTCTGTACAACTTAAAAACATATACAATAAGGAACCTTATTTGGAACACCATAGGCCGAATACAACCTCACTGGAGGATGATAGCCTAACTGGGTGGTCACAAGTTTTACAGAAATAAACTATTTTTTTGAAAATGGCACAAGATTTCTGAAGCGTTGTACAATTGAGAATTTTCTTTAAAAACTTTCAAATAATGGGCTTATAAATTAAAATTAAATCTTATATAAAAAGAAAAAACAGAACCTCAATGATGAAATGAAGAATAGTTTATATTAATTAAGAAAGATCATTCGGAGTTAAAATGTTATAACCGACTCATCTCTAAATGAAATTGGTTTAACAGATTAGTAAAAGTTTTTCTTTTTGTTGGTCAAAGAAAGCAGCATTGTTCTTTTACTTTCCTCACAAGTTGCTATGTAATAATAACTTTAAATATGATGTTATAATAACTTTTCATTATAATTATAATTTATTTTTCGCCCTGACTGTCTTATGTACTTGTGACCATTGATCCAGTAATGGATCAGTGCAAATGATTTTAATATGTGTCCCTCCACCTCATACCAACACTTTTTTTAAAATTTGATTTGATAATTTACCGATCATCCTCGCTAGATTAGTTGTAAATCACACTAAAGGTATGAAATTCCCAAGCCTATCTGTCAGACAACTAGGATAAGCAGCCGAGAATACTCGGTGAAGACCAAATTATAAATATTATATTTATTACCTTTAAAAATATATACCTAATATTTAATTCATTTCAGGATAAGGGCAATTAGCCATCTCTACTGCTACAGAAACCTAATGAGCAAACACAAACAATTATATGTGCCCTCCAATTTTTATACAGATTATGAATATCGTAATTGATATCCTATGCTCTTAAGTTTTTGATATTGCATTAATAAAGTAAAACGTTGCTAATATCGCATGGCAACAACTTTTTCAGAAAAGTATCGATACATTTTCCATTTCCATAGAATATCGATTTCTTCTGAAATTTGGCATATTTTAGCAAAATTTTTAGTATAATTTTCGTTGGGTAAATCGACTTTTATTTAATTGTTTATTTTTAAATTATAATGTTGAAAAAAGTCTAAAAACTTTAAGAAGATTCAACCGTGATAAAGTCTAAAAGGTCGATGAAATGTGGATTAATTTATTTGAAGTTTTAACTGATCGTCGATAATTTTATTTCTAGGGGAAAAAAAATCATTTTCCACTTGACAAACTACCTTTGGCTCACCCATTCCCTAACCACATCTGCATCTAACCGCCCATATTTTTCATTCTGGCAAGCTAGCATTTTTTCGGGGATTTAAACGAGACTAAGCTGCAAAACTAATTTTTATAGTTTTACANAAAGTCGTGGGTTCGAATCCCGCTTGTGACACTGACTTTGTTATCTCAACCAATAGCTTAAATATAAATTAAATAATTTTGAAGCTTGGAACCTTACTTTTTTCCTCATCAATAGGATTAGGTAATCATAGGCCCTCCATTTGATATACTTCAGGTGATCATATTTGATAAACCTTACTTGTAATACAATATTGTGAATGTCTTTTGTAACTGGACTTCAGAGGTGTTATGCGAACTTACATTTATAGCGGAACCTCTGTGGGCAAGAGGTTAGGTCGTCTGAGGCGTACCTGACAAGCTATAGGTTCTGGGTTCCAGTACAGGTTTAAAATATGACATTTTAATTAGAAATTAGAAATTGTAAAAAATTGGAAAGTGGATCGAACCTACCTCCGCATTTACTTTACCTGACAACAATTACTTTACTTGTATATTATTTTTTATATTAAGCTATACTATATTATTTACTTCCAAATATATTATATTATAAACAGAATATTCCAAAATAATTTAATAAAAGAAATATATAAATATATTTTAATACCGTCATATAATTCGTATAGAAGTTTAATATCGGGATATTGCACATGCAGATATGCAATTTATTAATTTTTTGTAGTTACCATCAGATAATTCTTATTAATTTTATGTAGATTGGTCTTTCGTATACGAAAAACACCACGCATATGATTATAAATAATAGTTAATTGTTTCATTTTACATTTTACATAATAAGATATATATAAAATATGTTAATACGTGAAACAATATTAAACTTTTCCTGGTCATTTTCATGGACATATTATAATGGTTGGTCTTCAAAAACTGCTTTAAAAATGTTTTTTAATTAAAACCCTTTAATCGCTGTAATATTTAATGAATCAAGATATGAATGAAAGGGTAAGAGAAGAAATAAAATAATTTTCTTTGAAGTTAGTTGGATTTTATTGTTCAAAGCAGCGAGAACGAACACGAAAAAACGAGGGCAGGGTTCTGGTTCGGGCTGATTGAAAAAATAATATACATTGTAAAAACGTTTGAAAAAAGTATGGGAATTAGAAACCAGGAAAGTTAAAAACGTTCTTTGTAAGAGTTAACAGCCGTGAACATTCAAAGATAATTCTCTTTTTATGAAAAACGTACGTAAACTGACTCGCTTAGAAAAACGGTTCTCCTGTAATGTTGCATTATGCTATCTCCAGTAAGATTTTTTGCAGGAATTCAATAACCTTCAAACATTTTACATTACAATTCGGAAAAGGTAACCTATATTTTGAACTAGGTTCCAACTACCAAGGAACTAGGTTAAAAAAATTTTTTAAAAACTTTTGTCAAATCCGAAACAAAAAAATTCCTCTAATTCACAAGCTGACTAAAATCGGCCGCCCATTCGACGTGATTGGTAGTGATTGAAAGATACCAGAGCCATCTTTGCCAACAGACTATAAAGTTTTAACAGATTATAAAGGAGAAAACCAGGTTGAATCGTTGAACCGGAAATTGAAAGGAAGCAAATTTGACATAATTTGTGCAAGCTAAAAAGATAACTACTCTGTATTATTAACTAAGTCCCTTAAACTTTCAACCTTAAAAATATGCTTTCATACTTTGCGCACTAGAAAATCTTAAAATAGCCAAATGGCTCTAAAAAAAACCTTCAAAATTTCAGTGAATGATCCATTCTCAGTAATGAACATGCTGACAAACTGGTCAGGTGAAGATCTTCAAGCTACATACCTCTACGTTAATGGCGAAATTTTAAAAACATATTGTGGAGTTATATTTTTTATTATTTTTGATCTTAATATACCTGCATTTTTAGACATTTCTGTTTTATTTATCCAAAGTTTAGTGGTTAATTAACAATCCAGTACATTTTATCGTGACGAATTTCATTGTTTCACAATCATTCGTGGTTGGCCTGTGTGTTTTACACTGGGTATGTCCTTTTTAAATATTACACTAGCTTTATATATNTATTAATTATAATATATATAATACAGACAAGTGAATGTGTGATATTAATGATTGTATTTCAAAATCATATTAGATATTTACATATGCAATATTACTTTTCTTTTGAATTATATTGAAATTATTTTTGTATCTGCATTAAACTCATTGCATGCTTATGGACATACAATGTTTTTGGTGATGTTTTTGACAACAAATCCCCAACATGCAACGTATAAATGTCCAAATTCAATCCACACTAGCGATGATAGACCTTACGATTTTTACTTCATTTCTGGCAAAGCAATTTAATTAGAAATTGCAATCAATTGATTTGGAAAGGCACTTCTATTGGTATCATTGGTAATAGTATTAGCACACACATCCTCTCCTTTAAATTTTAGTAAGACTATTAATATTAATCTACGAACAATATGTTG